CACACACACACACACACACACACACACACACACACACACACACACACTCACCTTTGATTTAGCTGAGTCACTAGTCGGTGAATCTGTGGGTGAAGAGAGAAGAGAGGGACACGTTAGATGTTTTTACAAAGCAGATGAACACATCGATGAGGTGCAACATGGGAACATGAATCAGGGAGGGAGAAAAAAAAAAACGTTAGAAGAGAACAATGTTGATGATGAAGGATCGTGTGGCGTGAAAACACACAACGGACGAGACAATTGAGCACATACATGAGCAGACAACAGGCCATGCTTCACAGCGAGACAGATGAAGCTCTACGTTACACTCAGCTCCACAGCGACACGGCGTGTGAGCGTTCTTCCCCCAACACGCCCGAAACATCGAGTCCAAACCAGGGGAGGAACATGTTCTGATCTTCCCTCAAGTTTCGTAGTGGTACTGAGTGCAACTTCAGCAACAAACACGACAAGTACGTTTAAACAGCAGGCCAACCGTGAGGGTGATAATGTGCCGTGTAACACAAGGATGGAGAAAGATATGCAGACGTGAGCCCTATGAAAGCGTTTATTGATTAAAGAAACATCTGAGTATTGTTTCAGAATGTGCAGATACCTAAACCATTATTTGTTCTTATATCAAAAGAAGCCACAGTTCTCAAATGTTACATGTGGTCTAGACCAGAGGTTCCTCACTTTATCTACTTAAGGACAAATCTACTTTCACCCGTCGTCATCGCTGCTCTGTGAAAACAAGACCTCTGAAGTGGAAAATCCTCAGCTTCGTGAGAATATATTTTGCAGATTTTTCAAAGGTTTATTTGGGTAGAATCTGCTCAATGTGGATCACCACATTTAGAGAAACATGGTGTTCATTGGATAAGACAAAGTCCATTTATTTAATACTTTTAGAGGCACAAAGATGTAAAACTACTTAACAATAAAAACAGTCTAAAAGTAAACATAACTTTGTGTAGACGAAAGTTATTTTGTCCTGGTTATTATCTCATGGATTTCTTTGATTCATGTTGGGAACCACTGGTTTAATCCCAAGCAACCTTAAGAGAACTTTGCCGAAATAAAATCGTCTAAAATTAACAAAACTTTTAATGTAAGTCAATAAGTACCTGATGAGCTATCCGACGTACATGTCTGGACATTTAACCTCAGCTCTCTGTACTCACTACAGACACATTTTGGTTGATAATAATGAGGTTTGATACCCAACCTCACAGATAGACTACAATGCTTTTTACCTGAACTGACAAAGCAATGTGAGGTGACATGAGCTGACAACAGTGACACGGTGATGACGGAGATGGCAGAAACCAAAAAAATAAAGAACAACAGAGAAGTGACAGGGGGTCACAGAGGGGCTAGCTATATGAGAAGAGGGGACACTACATGAGAGAGAGAGAGAGTCAGCGAGGAGAACCTATAATCAGTCCTCGCCTGCTCTGTAATCATCCTTCTAGCTAAAATTTGCTTCTGTTTGTTTGTGTGACATAGCCGAGCCCCCCTATACACCCCTTACAATGCAGATGATGGCACAATATGCAAGTGCACACTGACTGGAGACGTAGAAACCATACCATGCTATCTCTCCCGTTGGCAAGCTTGCGAGACAGTGAGGAGAGACAGCGGAAAGCCTTTGAGACAGTAGCACCGGCCCGTGTTAGGTATACTCTGATCGACAACCCACAACACCGGACCCTGCACAGTACGGTGGAGCCGCTTCCCCCTTTCCGTCACGGTTCCTTTCTTTAATCCTTTTTTTTTTTTTGTTGGTTTTTCCCTCTTTGGCTTTTTCGTGCGCTTAAAAGAACTGCGGGTTCCTGCAGACTAGGCAGCTACACTGGGGGCAACAATCCTCCTTCTTCCTACAGTTCCAGCTGTCCATCACGGACATTATAGAGTCCATCAGTGTCATCATGGTGTGATAGACTCCTCCCACTTGGCCTGTGTCAAGATCAGTATGTGTGAATGCTGGGAAAGCCTTTAGGACACCCGACAGAGCCTCACTAGAGACAGAGGAATCAGAGGTCGCCTTTCACTGTACAGACATCTATTTCTGACGTGAGGAAGAACATGCCTTGTTAGTGCAACAGTGGGCGGGATAAAGGGAGGGAGGAAACGCAGCCCAGGTGTGGAGTTTGTCTAAAACGAGGTATTAAAGGGCAGAGGCGGAAAAAAAGGAAAAGGACGTCTAAATTGATCAAATACCGAGAAGGGGGATAAATCTCTTAAAGCAAATGAAGAAGCGAGACAATTTATTGCATCTTTTAAGTTATTGTGATGCAAGTAAACTCACGCAGGCGTTTGGACTCATGGTTAGCCATAGACATTTCTATCTAGTGGCAACAGCGAGAGAAGCAGAGAAGGGGAAGCTTGGCCTGGGGAAGAAGCAGCGTTATCATCAACATTCGTTACTGGTGTTACACAGCGGCCGCTCGGCGACCACAGCGCTCAGCAGAGAAAGATGAACCCACCAAAGAGTCGGCGTGTTACCTGATACTTCACCCTGCGATGTGTTCGTACGGCCGATGTTGGTGAGCAGGTGGTCGATGTTGGGGATGGGCTGAGACTCCACGGCGCTCTGCTCACGAGTTATAGTCTGAGAGAAACAAATGTAACACAGTTGGGAGCGGATTCAGGGGGACATTTGAAGCAGTGACTACATATGCACAATTTATTAATTTCAAATATTTTCATTATATCAAATCCAAATAAACAACAATTTAATTCCAGGTCATAATGCAACAAAATAGGAGAAACGTGATGCAAGGCACTATATCTTATATTTACTTTAGGGACAAATATATTGTTTTAATCGAAATTAATTTGATTTTAGTCAACCCTGGGGAGAGACCAGAGCTGATAATGATTTACTGTACTCACCACTGGATCTCCGTTTCCATCTTCAGTGAAAAACCAGTGATACTAGAGGAAAGACAAACAGCATTACATTCTGCTCTGTGTTTTTTACGTGATACCATCATATCTTTAGTGAAAAGTTTAAGATGCGATGCTCACATTTTGAATGAGGGCCTCCACTATCCTGTACTGGTCTGGCATGTGAGTCACCATATGGGTCATGTTGTCCTCGGTGGTGCGCACCAGAGTGGGACCGAACACGATGGCCAGGTTCCTTGGTTCCATCTAACAAACAAGAAACAAAAGATTTATTGTACATCTTTAATTTCTCTGATCAAAACCTAATTCGGTAAAACGTGTAAGTTACGCACCTTATTCTTCTCTGAGTTGTCAGCCACAGTTTTGAGATGAGCCGAGAGGAACTTGAGGGTTTCGTAATGATGATCGGGCAACTCATGAAGCTGTAAGTAGACAGAGATGACATTACACAGAGTTATGATAACACACACAAACACAAAGTTTTGCTTCTTCTATTCTATTTTTGCTTTTCATAAGAACTTCATCAGGTTTCAGCGCTCTGGTACAAACCCAAATGCTTTACAGCCAAGTAAATATATCAATAAATAAAGTATTTAACGAATAAAAGTATATTATACAAATAAGGGATGAAATGAATTGCAACTCACCAGCCTCTTGAGCACTTTGAGTCTCTCCACTGGGTCCTCCGTTCTGTTGGCGTCTATAAAATCTGCGTACTTATCTGCAGGCAGAAAGAAAACAAAATTAGGCAAAGGCTTGAGGTGAAATACAGCCAGCTAGTTCTCATTTGTGGCCACTAGATGGCAGAAACTCACCATTGGTGAACAACGGCTCTGGAAGTTTACGGAAGAAGGACTTGAGTAAACTGCTGATCACATTGAGGTCCCTCCATTTCTGTAAAACACGAGAACAGAATAGAAGTTATGCAACAAAACAAAAAGTGTATTCAACATGCATGAAGCTCACATCCACCAACAAGGTGCTGTTGCTCTGACTGCTGCACCTCTGTTCATCCTAAATAAATCAAAGACACATCACTAGCAAGTATTCAGAACTGTTATGTGCGCACACATCTAGAGAACACTGCATCTTTAAAAGTATTTCAGTCCCAAACACATTAGGAGCAGCACTGTAGAAAGGGAAACTCCAAGGAGAGTTTAATTAAAGCAACAGCGCTCGATAAAGTGCCACTCACATCATCCTGGACATCGATGTCGTTCATGCCCTTGTTGTTGAGCTCCTCCTGCATGTTGGAGATGGCGGCGTTGTTTCCTGGGACTCTGTAGATGCCCGTGTACTCCAACCCCCTCTCCTCCACCAGCTTACAACAGACCTCCACAATCAGAGGCACAAACTACAATACAGAGAAATGCAGCAAATGTTTAGCTCATTGGACCTGCAGCAGATTATTACTGTGAAGAGAAAGGGTCAACAACTTATCAAAGGGAATACAAAACAGGAACATCCATACAAACCTTAAAATGTTTCGTAGTGATGCAAAAAAAATGTTTTCCCCCACAAAATCCTTCACAGGGTTTTATTACAGATAAAACACATCAGTACAGACCTTGTTGGTCAGTGCAGGCGGACAGTCGTCCAGCCTCACTCCAAACGTGACTCCAGGAGACGGTTTCCTCTCAAAGGGTTTCCTCATGAGCCCCGGGATGCCCTTCCTCCATGTCCCTTTATCCTTGGGAGGGCTGGTGTCATCTGCAATGTACAATACGGTGAGTACAATGAACACATTTGTTCTTCTTGGCTTAAAATACAACAAACCTGGTTGGCGTGTGAATTTTGTTTTCCTTGCAAAATACATTAAATGCGAAGAAAGAAGTGAATCACATTAAATGGGGGACGTTTCTTTTCCTACCTTTGTGCGCGTTCTTCTTCTCCTGCTCAGCTTTGGGTGCGAGCGGACTCGTTGCTTTGCTTTCTCCTTTTCCTCCCAGCAGCGTCTGCCTGATGCTCAGCGACTGGCGCGAGGTTTTGGGCGACGACTCCGTCTTGCTGCCCGTCGGGCTGCGTGAGACATGAACCCAAAATGAGCTTTCAGATCAGAAAAAAAAACCTCATCCAGCACTCAGTGAAAGTTCTCCTGAAGAGCGAGGCCTGCCCTCCTCCCTCACTTCGTCCCCTCCCTTTGGCCCTCACCTCATCAAGGTGTTGTACTCCTTGATCTTCCTGCTGATGAGGTCATGGCTGGTGAAGGCTGCGTTCTAAAAAAAAAAGGAAGGAAAGGGAGCAGGGCAGATCGGGACACAATAGGTGATGGTTAAGGCATCAGGTACAACAGGTACATTGACACCCATCACCGCTAACATAACGGATCTTTATATAACCGGCTGCTCTCAGGTGACACAGGTCCCCCGTTGGCAGGTGTGTCAAAATATTAGTTTCAGCACAATGCTAATGCATAAATACTGATGCCAGATTGAACGCTTGGCGCTCACCTCCTCGTCCAGGTTGCCGTTCTCCTGTATGACTCTGATCCAGGCCAGCATGTCCTCCCGGTCCTCGGCCTGGAACAGGTACTCACAGTCCGACGTGGTCAGCCGCAGCACGTTCTTGCGCTTGGTGTCGCTGTACGAGATGTCGATCAGACACGCCTTGATGCTGATCGGCAGGGGCTCGTCTACCGCTTGGCAGTTGGCGTGAGCCTGCCCTTCCTTTCTGTCTTTGTAGAGGCAAAGGTAGCGACCTCTCAACACGGCGTACATCTGTTTCCACAGGCGCATACCTCCTCCGACACGCTGCGGGAACAGGTCACGAGAAGGAGACGAGTTTAAATAGCAAAATGATAGGGGATTTAAATGTAATCGGTCTGTAAGCGTTGGCCTTCTAACACATAATCACTGCCTTGAGGGCAATATGAGACCTCATACATGGAGGCCAAAGGCAGCTACCAGTTCAAACTGGTCCAATAGGTGAAACGGCATAAAATATTCACACAAATCTGGAAACAAGGGCAGCCCTGCTACAGTTATAAAGTCACGTAATGCTTGAAGATGTGCTCCCTGTGTGTCAGTGTGTGAGTGATATGATGCGATGGCTTGTGTACGTGGAGGCGGTCCACACCTTGCTCTTCTCCGTGTTCAGCTGCTTGAAATGAAGCAAACCCTCCTTGGTGGCGTCACAGAAGACGTCTGATGAAGAATCTCTCCTGGACCCCGAATCTTCGGATGACCTGTCCCCCCCCGCCTGTGATAAGAAAATAACATACATTTAAAAAAAAAAAAAAAGAAGTGTTTTGATAAAGAAATAAAAATATAGAGAGAGAGACTGATGTTTATGATGAAAAGCTAGAATGGTACAGTAGTCAAATTTAAGGATATCAAAGGATGTAAATACAGAGAAATAAACTTTGAATTAATTACTAACCAGCAATGCCTGATGTTGCTTTTACACCTGCTATTGTTTACCATCAGATATTCACCTTTCAATGGGAGAAGTTTTATCTTTTGGGTGTGAGCTAACGAGCTGATAAAGCAGCAGGATGTGCCAGTCAGCCGAACACAGCTGGCAGCGTGATAAAAAGAAATAGGGATTGAACTCACCTTCCTCAGATTCTTCAGACCAGGTATTAAAGACCTCCTGAATGGAAAAGAAGAGGTCATCTTTTAGGTAATTTGAACATTTTCCTCATCAGGATGGATATAATGGGTATTATTTTTACTCCTATCTATGATGAAGCCGCTGTGGGTGTAAGAACTTACCCTATGCCTTCTCCCCGGTAGTTATCCAGGCCTTCGTCATACGACTTGGACCGCTCTGTTTTACTACCAGAATCTGACTCGATGACTGTGAGACGGAGAGAATCTGTTAAGAGGTGAAACAATTATTTGTAACAAAGCTCAGTAGCTGTCATAGGCCTAATGTTGCTGCTTTGACGTGAACATACCTTGGTCATGTGACAGATGGCGTCGAATGAGAGGCGACAGAGAGGTGGGGCTGGGTGGGATGGTGGCGATGACGGGCGTTCCACATATAACAGCAGAGGCGGGGATGTGTGTGCAGTCCTGGTCGGTGCTGGGACTAGAGGGTTCATCTGAGGACAGGAAGAGAGCAATGAACTGCATTAATGAGGCGTCGGAAAGATCTGGAGAAATTACTTCCCGACTGCGAAAAACATGTCGGAACAACGAAATTGGCATTGATATGAGTTGACGTCATATTACGCAGAAACATGGCAGATGAAATTAAACGCTGGGTTGATGGTTGCTCCCATGTCATTTGTAATATGATATTAGCTTGTACCCGTTAGATGCTGTCCACCTCGGTTATTTACTGAATTTATTTATTAGCATTAACCCTCATAGAAAAGTCAAGTAAAGCAATGTTTGAGTGGTTTTAGGGAACGTACTGCTGCAGCAACACGTTTGGGGCAAATGTAAAGCTTCAAACTGTTTCAGCATACTTGGACAGATAATAACAAATCCTCTTTGTGGCATCCATGTTGTTTCGACTTAAAGCTCATGAACACACCAAAGTCGGAACTTCCCAACTTGAGAAATGGGACAATCCGAGGAGCACATGAACGCACCATTAGCTGCAGGACAACCAAACACGGAGCATTTTAGGTTGAGACTGACCGTTAGCTAAACCACTCCCCCAAACAGAGATTGTCCAATCGTAGCTTAGCATAGCATAGCATAGCTTACTTGGCATTTAAAGAGTGTCTTTTTTATAATCTTTTGAAAACACAAATGCAAAAGTGTAAAGAATGGATTCTCATATTTGGCTAAATAGCTTGCTACCAACAGCAGTTACTGAACCCATAGACATCTTTATCTAGCTAGCTACATTAGTTTGCCGTGTTACATACAGTGCATACAAAAATAAATAAAAACCTTCATGACTATCAGATCCACTGTGTAATATTCTAATTGTGTGGCATGCTCTTTATTATTCCAGCTGAACTCCTATAAGGCATAAATTCAGATGTAGTCTGCAACAGGAAATAGTTGGTACATTAAATTACCCAAAAACAAAGTCTAATCCATCTCTGCTATCTTCACTTGAATAAACATTTCAGCACACGGCAATAAAACGCTGATAATGACGCACGGGTCTAAAGCAAAGCGATGCAGACAGAAACACCTTTCTACTGGCTGACTGCGTCTCTGTTCCGATAAGCACCTTCCCTATCAAATAAACACAGCAGTAGCATTACATCATCACAGACACGGCCATGTCATAATGTCTGATATGGAATATCAGCAGGATGGCAGGCCCTAAAAACAAATGAAGAGACGCGTATACGATGAATCATATCAGCGACTGTGGTGATGCAGGTGAAACCTAATGTAGCACGACCAACATTAACACTCTTAAGATTAAATTCCTGCCAATTCACTGATACAAATCTTTAACTTTCACAACAGATTTGATGTGAAACATGTGATCTGCTTGTTGGTTGTGTACAGATGACTGCTGTGAAATCGCCCTACCCTTAAATACACTTATTTGCTGTGAAGTGAATAAAAAGAGACAATACTATTCTCACATCTTTTTGAGATGGTTAGCTTAGCTTAGCATAAGGACCGGAAACACAGGGTGGCAGCTAGCTAGAAAGTAACCCCCGTAAAAGCACGACTTGTTGGCTTTTGTATGACACATACAAGACATAACATGTTAGTGAGCTTTAGAAGTGCTGGTCGGTGGATTTTTATAATCTTTGGACAGAGCCAGGCTAGCTGTTTCCCCCTGCTTTCAGTCTTTATGCTAAGCTAAGCTAACCAGCTGCCGGTTGTAGCTTTATAATAAAAGCACAGACATGATATCTCAGCAATAAATGCATCTTAGGTCTGTCCAAATATGAAACTTCAACCATCTGACATGATCAGTGTGAAATAAGAAAACGTTTTCGGGTGTTTGCCTTCTCAGCACATCACATGCGTCAAACACAGAACACTGGGAACAAGTGCTGAAATCGTACACACACAGGTAAATGCTGCTGGAGGAGGATCTGATGATTAAACACCTGCAGGTTCTGGGGCACGAAGAAAAACACAAGAGCTGCTCTTATTGGCTGGTGATGAGTCACCGATGACGACACAACTGGAGATGCAAAATTGAGTTCAAGCTTGTTTTGGTTATGTCAGCCGATAAGTTGGCAGAGACGTAAAAAAATATAGAAAAAACAATACTTAGCTTCTATTTTGTGTATTGTTCCTTTCTGGTTTAAACACCACAAGTAAATACAGAGCTCCACTATGATGCATTTGCTTTGTTAAGAATGCATTCAGCTTTCTGAGGAAAAACACAAAAAAAGGAGGATTTCTCCTCATCGGGGGAACGTGATATTCTGCACGTACTCTAGCAGGACCACTTGTGCTCTGTTCCCAGTACAACGTGTTTGGCAGACACCTAATGTCCAGCAGTTGTTCCATTTATTGTTTGGAACTGTACTACGAAATCTAATTGAAGCCGCAGGAATGCTCTTATTTCTCCGTTATGTCACAGTCCATTAGGACCACATTCTTGGGTTTCTCTTGCTGAACAACACAAGGGGGAATATGAGCCAATTCGGGGAGTGGGTGGGGGGGGGGGGGTGTATCGAGTTGGAGAGCAGCTCTGTGTCTGAGTGTGTGTGTGCTGCCCTACTCAGATGCCAAAAGGGTAGTTTGAATACGTCATGGTTGCCTGCAGTACAGTGTCACATAATCACACACCTGACTCCATGTCACCCCGGGCTCAAAATGCCACAAGGACCCTATTTATCTACGCATTCAAATACCTATATAATACTGGGACTGTAACTTGAGTAAAGTACATCATGCCTTAAATAAATGTCTCTGCCTTTATGACCGAGGACGAGTGGTTTCACGGGTAACGCGCTAAATTACATAGAATAGTGTTCATTTAAGGAAAAGACAAAGAGCCTAACAAGCAACACAAGCACTGGGGTATTCCCTGTAAGACCACCGTTATTTCTGGTGATCCACAGTATATTCACGATGACATTAAGACACAATAGATGCCCTTGTAGTATGATGAGTGAGGCCACAGAGGCTAACACTTGATATTCACTGCCGTTTTGTGATTGTATTGTATATTGTACTGAAGCAAAAAGGGAGCTTCGGGTTGTTTTTTGGTAATTTGGTTCCCACAGAGAGAGGGGCAACCACACCTATGTCCCCACTAATATTGAACAGGAACACCAGATAGGCCACCTTAAAATGTGGATCTTAAGATAGGATATTAATGCAACGACTGTGAACTCTAACCAGTTCCACATCGCATGCAGAATATAGCATTCTGTATATCTGCCCTCACTGCCTCCAACATGCTATATGCAAAGTGCACACAGACACACCCTCTCATTTGCATCTGCAGCTGAGTTTTCTCTCCTGATAATGATTATCTGAGCATGTAAAACCGCTGATAGAATCACACAGTGGACTAACCCATGAAAATAATGCCCACTTTCTATCTACTATATATAAGGGCTGGGTATCACTTTAGTTATTCCATAATAGAAAACAGCACTTTCTTCATCAAATTGAGGAATATAAACCTGTTTTTCCACAAAACGTTCTTAGTCAAAGGAATAAAATACTTCTTAATGCATCCGCATGTATCGTTGTCTTAGCACAAGCAGCTGTAAAAATACCTTCCCTAAATAAAACACAGTCTAAAGTTTCCTGATTTACATACAGCCTTTCCTGATTCAGATAAAGGAATAAATAACACATCAGTATGTCTCGCCAAGCATATGATGCCGACTTGGATACTTGAAGCAAAACTAATTTTGGTCTGAAGACAAAGATTAGACCTAGATTGGTCATGTCATTTGCTATCAGCTCATTAAAAGCATGGTGCCACTTGGTATAATCTCTACTTGGCTGAAGAGTCTGCCAAGCTTTCATGCATAAACATGCTTTGTCACTCACACATGCTGTGTCATCATTTCTTCACAGTGCTCACCCTTGTCACTGCTGTTGCTGTAGAAACAGGAAGAGTTTAAAAAGAAGACGGTATGCAGATTAGTGCAGTCTTACCTATGAAGGGGATTGAATCCAGGGAGTCGTCCAAGTTGTTGGAGCCAGACTTGTGCCGTGCGTCTCCAAGCCTTCTCAGATGCATCTCCCTAAAGCTGTCATTAGACGTCCAGCACATCGCTCCGTCCACAGAGCCTGCCTTCACTAATGGCGGGGACTTGTGAGTCACTCCTCCCTGGTTGTCATTAACAGCTAGCACATAGGACGGAGGGCGGATGTGGGGAGCCCCAGAGTTTTTGTCCCTTCTAAGGACGACGACTGTCGCATCCGGTCCTTCTACGCCCTCTGCAAGACCGCCGTTAGTCCGTACAAGGGCGCTGGTAGAACTGGAGATCTCTCTGACTTTTGGCTTTTGGGTAACAGCTCCATTAGTGGTGGAGGAACCAGAGGAAGAGGCAGCAACAACTACACTTTGTCTCTGCAAGGGCAGTTTAGAGGAGTTACCAGAGCAAGAGGAGGACCTGGCTGCCAACCCAGTATCTGACCTGCTTTCCATTTTCAGACTGTCAGACCGGCCTCTGAGCTGCAGGTGCAGAGGGGAGGAGTAGCCCAGGTGGTTGCCCACGATGTTAGCTCTTTGGTCTTTAAGAGGGTCTGTGGTTCTACTGGAGGATAAGGCAGGTGAAGGGTCTGAGATGGCGTTTTTAACAGGTAGGCGCGATGGTCTCATTATGACACCGTCTGTCCTTGATGTTAGCACAGAATCCGTCGTAAATTTAGTAAACACAGGAGCAGAGTTTGATAATCCACTTCCCTCCTGTCCAGTGAGACTCCTGTTCAGATGAGGTAAAGCTCTCAGGCCTGTTCCCTGCCTGCTAGCTCTGGCGTCCTCTCCCCGACACAGCATCAGCCTGTCCTCCAACACCACCCGGTCTGCAAAGACAGCCAACGCTTCTCCAGGCTGCTGCCCCAGGTAGTCGCAAGACCGCGCCCGAGGTTTGGGGACTCCTGTGGGGCTGGAGAAAGGCAGAGCATCCTCGGAAGCACTCCGAGGCCAGTTCCTGATTGGTGTTGTCCTCTCTGCTCCACCTCCAAGCCTCTCTTGGGAGACGCTACGTAATGGAGTCACTGCAGTGCCCTTGCTACTTGCATCCACCCAGCGGTCGTTCGAGGTGCTTCTCCGTCTGTGCTGGGAGCCCAGCTCCCCTCTTTGACCGGTGCTAGGAGGAGGCGGCGTACGTTGCTGGGCGTAGGCGGAGCTGGAATTGGCAGCCGCACGCAAGCTGTCCAAGCGCTCCTGGATGGTGCGGCAACCATACGTGTGCAGCCTCTTGGCGTCTATGTAGTCCTTGTAGGTGGTGTAGTTTTTCCAGTCAATGTTCTGGTGTGGAGAGGTGGAGGGGGTTGTGGGAGACGGTGAGTAGTGGTTGGCGCTGGGTGAGATGGCGGTGGAGAACCTGTCCGGTGAGGCAGCGGTGTCCCGTACAGCTGGAGACAATGTGTCAGGATAGATAGGACCAGGTCTTGATGACGGGGAGTAGACCGGGCTTTCTGTGGGACAGGACGAGGGGTACTGCAACTGTGCACCCCCAGGTACTGAGGGAATAAGCGGTCTCGGTCTGGCTGAGCCGGAATCTGCTGAAGGACTGTACCGGTTTTCCTCTGTCCTGTGGCTCGGTCCAGCCCGAGCTACCCGGGACCCCCTGTCAACCAGATCAGGAAGCATTGCCGCTGTCCTCACATTCTCACTACAGACACAAACCACCGTCTGAGACTTTGACGTCTGTTGGGGCGGAGGAGATGGCGTAACAGGGATTTCAACCCGGTAGCTCTTTTCCGCGGCCCCCCCTCTTCTTCCTGGTCCCTGAGCCGGCCCTGGGGGGGTCTCACTGACTGCGGTGGGCTCCGATGTCTGAGCCATGCCCGCGGCCTTCACTTCTATCCGAGGGTAGCATATGGGAGGGGGCTCGGGGATGTTCTGGGCATTTCCGCTGTACGCATCATTTCCTTTGAGATATGCATCCTGGGAATACGCCTGCAAGAGATTATAGGACATTATGTCACTTCGGTTGCTGCGAGGTTGGAAAGCTAAAATAGATCACATTGAACCGGGAGAACATCACACCCGACCACGGACAGGATACATTAGACTTAGCTTGAAGACTTTTACTGAACAGGGAGTGCTGTAGAAACTAAAAAAAAATGCTGCAAATGCAAATACGAAGACTGTTTTTTACCCGGTCTAGATGATGAATTTACTGCAACATCTCACTGATGACTTCATCTGTCTTTGCCATTACAGCTACAGTATCTTACGGCATCGACTGCACCACGACAATGTGGTTGCTCACATCTTGAAAGCGGAGATTGAATGTTGATCCACTAGTGTCATTTATTGACAAGAGTTTCTGTGCGAGCTGATGAGATTATCAGCAAGACAAACCGCGTTACTGAATTCCCTCCAGAACTCTGTAAGTGACAGAGAACTGAAACCAGCCTGCCTATAACAATAAAATAACAGCATGCTAAACGTAGACACAGCGCTCCGGTACTTTTCCTCCTAAACAAACACACTCTGCTTCAGTTACAGTTTCTCAATCATTTCCTAGGAGACTGCAAACAAAATGTTACAGCATGCCATGATACAAATTAACGGCCCTGAGAAGTAACAGATGTGAGAGAGTGGGGAAAAGCGAGGATAGCCAGAAAACCTAATCAGTAGAGAAAGAAGGCTGGAAAGTCCAGAATAACCCCGCGGAGCTAGGAGCCAGGAGCCAGGATTAAGCTGGGAGGGGTTTACCCACCTTTGGTACTGGAGAGTGAGCCCTGAGGCATGAGGAGAGGCTGAACGGGGGACGCCTCTGTCTGCCGTTGCCAGCTAACGCTACTTCTGTCAGCATGGCTCCACAACTCTACTGTCACTGTAGCAACTAGGGTTCTTTCCTCGATTAAAAAAACCTGAACTGAAACACTGAAAATTAGCTATTTATAACCCTGTGAATGACGGACGACTTCAGACGACTTGAACGTGGTACATTTCCTCATCCCTTCAGCACACCGACTCTTGAGAAAATGAAAAGGGAGAGAGTCGTGGTGTTGGACTTTAATCGATAGCACTCTACCTGAAGTGTCGGCTTACGATTGTACTAACAGCAAAGGCAGCCGCAGTAAATCTGCAGCGCCGTGCCTCCCTCTCCCTCATACAGTTAAATAGCAACCAATTTCCTCAATAGGGAAATCACAGGGCAAAGTGCCAGATTATTTGTTTTTCTAGTACACACACCTTTCCCTCCACCTGAAACACCAAAAAATGAACCTGCATATACGAAACAGTACGCATGCTGCAAAGAGGAGGAATATATTAGGGGGTTTTAGGGATTTGCCAGCGGTCTGCAAATACGAGCTCTAAAGGCGGTGAAACATGTCATGAGAGCTCTGAAGCAAATGGAGAGTCAACTGAAAAGGAAAGTGATTAATGAGTATAGTTCCCCTTCTTACCAGAGCAGTGATATCCCTGGAAAACTGCAGTCCACAGATTAGAGAAGGGCAAGCAGAGAGAAAAAACAGGGAGCAAAGAGAAGTACACAGGTGAGCATAGAGAAATGAGACGCCATCGATGGAGGCGAGACAGACAACTTCTCTGACTTCAGCACCGGCTAAAAATACACTCGCTGAGCAGAGGCTTCAGTTGGAGTGGAAGAAGAAGAAGAAGAAAGAAGAATAGAGGTGAACTTCTGCTTTCCTTCTCACACCTGAATGTCTTCTAAGTTGCTCTTCATCCCCATTATTTCCTCCACCCCACAAACCCAGCTGCAGTTACAGATTACATTTGGTGAATGTGTTCTGCTGGCTTTCTCTCTCTCTCTCTCTCTCAACATACTCAGCATTTCTTTCCTTTGCTCTGTCACTCTCACCTGCTCACTGTGGTACCGCCCCTCCCCCTCTCTTGGTGGCTCAGCGGCTCCTGCGCTACAAACACACGACTACGAGCCTCTTTCATCCTCTCCCTCATCGGTTAGACGCCGCTCTATCTGTCGCATCGTCACTTTTGGGTGAGCATAACGGCACGCTCGCCTTCCTTCCTTCCCTCCCTCACTCACTCCCATAAACAGCGAGCAGAGAGGAGTCAGCTGATGGCAGCTACACTCCCTCTGGTAGTGAGCGAGCTCAATGTCTCCAAAAAACAAAACAGACAAACATGAACACATTGAAAAACATGGACACGGACACATCTACAGACACCACAGTGAGCGTTGTCCACTCATCCTTGAAACAGCCCAAAATGATCTCTTATCCTCGTATGAAGTGGATAAAAAGGTCACATAGTCAGCGTTTGTATCGATGTGTATTCTGACATTTAAAGAAATGGCTTGATTGTGATTCTCACATACATGTCGTATGAGAACTAACTCATATCACATCTTGTATTCCACTTTCCTTCAATTAACAGTTAAAACACCCAAAGACTGTGTTAGACAGATCCTAATGAACTGTAAAGTGAAACGATCCGTGGTTGACATTGAGTTGAACTTTTCCTGAATGAGGAGAAAGAGACAATTGCTTCATTGAAACCCGTCAGCCTTGTGAGGGTTCAGACTCATTCCAAAACGCCAAAAGCAAGTTCCTGTGGCTTTTTTGGTGAGCTCCAGCCAAGCTAACAAACTATGTGTGGAATTTAGCAACACAGTGGGAGCCGACTCGGATCTCTGCTCCAAAGACAGAGTTTCCCAAACGGAGGTGAATAACGTGTGGCGACTGGTTTCTCGTCTGCGGGGCTCTGGACCCTGACTGGTGACTGTTTGCCTCATCAGCATGACGGGGTGTAGAGCCGTGGCGTGAAGTCTTACTCTGCTACTTCTCTGGTAAGCTCTTTCAGAAACCAGGCCAAGAATGAGAGAATCTACGACAGTCTTGATTGATGATCATGATCGGAGATTCAATGGCAGGATGAGCAAGAGGGTGGAGAGACTAAACGTGTGTCAACACAGGTGTCATCATTAGAATTATCTAGAAAGTCTCGCATTATGCCCGTTCTTGCATGGATCAACACTGTGACTCATTAAATATCAGGCCTCACTGTGACCATGTTTTTAGATCACCCACTCTTTAACACAGTCCTGTCTGGTAATCTGAGTCCAGTAACTCAAGTTTGTGTCCACTAGAAGCTTATCTGTTTTAGTTTGGACCACTGGTCAACACTTTCTCTCTTCGTGAGGGAGTCAGACACTGAGTCGGACGTGACTCAGAGGTGAGTATCGCTTCAGAGAAAGTTTAGATTCACATTTTGGGAGAAGAAGATAATTATTTATCTCTGTGATGAGTACAGAGCTCGTTTAGCTTAGCCTGACAACACGGGGGGGAGAAAACCTGGTCCAAAGTACAAAAACACCCCAACAAACAACAGGAAAGTTGGCCAATTAACATGTTGTGTCTGGTTTGTTTGAGCTGTAAACAGGAACATAAAAGTCACAAGTTGTGGTTTTAGTGGGTGTTACATGCTGGAACTACTCATTAGTGACCAGGAAGTGCCAGGTTGCCAGGTTTAGTAACATTGATTCTGCACAGAGACAAAAAGCCTGTGCTCACATATCTGACAGCCTGAGCTACAGTCAAAGACACAGCACAGAAGTACTGGTTTTTGTTACTCTCCCTAAAATCACAAATTGTGATTGTTCTGTACATGCACAGGTTAAACAAACGAGATACAGCCAACATACGCCCTTCGTGACCAGGTTGAAAAATACATTTTAATTGCCATTAGACTAACTGGTGTGGTATTAAAAACGCGAGGTTTTCTGCTTTATAAGCTGCAAAGCATTTTAAGCACACTTGCAATATTTACTCATGAATGCTTACCAGCTGCAAAATGTCCTCATCCTTTGGCATCACACAGAGTTCCAGTGAGGCATCGCTGGTGGAGAGACGGGTGAGGGGTGGGGAGTGAGAGAAGGAGAGAGAGAAGCTGTTATAACACAGAACTCAATGAATGTGAATGAAAGTTACACTGTGTGCTTGTCAGCGATAAGGAAATGATTCTCTCTGGATGGACTGAATGTGTTTTTCCAAAGAAGTTTCACAATGGCTGCGGTTCATTTTCTGTGTTGGTCCACAAATGTGCAGGGGGAGTGTTGGCAGTGAGGGGACATCGACGGGGACCCGGGCATCAGGGTCTGAGTCTTTCTATCTTTAAATAAATGGTAACATTAAATGTGGAATGTCGCATATTGTACCTGTTCTGGATCAGAGCTATGACTTGCGAGTAGGTCTTCCCAATGATGCTCTCTCCGTTCACCTTCACTATCCGGTCCCCTGGAGAGAATTAGAGAATACATTACAAACCTGCTCTTTACTGCAACAGGACAAATAAAGATCTGGACTCCAGTCAATGTGGTTATCGACCAAAGAAAACCACTCTGAAGCAGCTCCTTCCAGCACACACATCCGTGTTTAGATCAAATGGAGAATACCAATACGTGTTTATTTGAAGGCCCCGATGTGAAAGATCCATGTCCATTCAAGCCCTCTGAAGATGGCCATCTTACAGGAAGAGAGGCGAGGTGAGTTTAGGGGAGAAACTAGATAATTGTGGGAAAACACTGCCCTCCTCTATCCCAAGAGAGGAGAGCGAACAGATAAAAGCAGACAGTTTAGAGGGCTTGTCCAGGCCACTTAACATTTCCTGTAACACAGAGTGCTAATCTGGCAATAACGCTGACACAGCTTCAGCTGGAAGGAGCTGATTTTCACCAGAAGGGAGTTTGCTCAAGAATTCTTTTTTCTGCTTAAAATCAGAAGTGATTCACGAATCAATAAGAGACAAAGTGGGAGACAGAATCAAGGAGAGGTTGGAATAACAGAGTGCATATTACACTTTGTTCAACCCCCCCCCCCACGAAGGAGCCATCTGTTATTTTGTAACTCGTATCTGTTTTGCCTGGCGGGTCACAAGGAAGTGGAATTACCTACAGTACAAATGTGAAGAAATCTTGGCATCAAACGGCGCTTTTAAGGTGAGAGAGACGTGAGACGGGCAGAGTTAACCGTAAGATCAACCGGTTATCAGAAGCAACGATCTCCATAGAGACTGTGTGTGTGTGTGTGTACCTGTACAGAGTCCAGCTCCGTGGGCGGGGCCTCCCTCCTTCACTTGCTTGACGAAAATGGTGTCCATTGGCTCCAGACGGTTCCGCTGCCGCCCTGGCAACAAGAGAGCACATGCAGCGAGGCGATTGGTCAAGCACACAGCGAGGGAGAAGAGAGGCAGCGCAGTCAGAACGAGGAACACATCGCACCGCTGCAGCATCGGGGCGTCAGCGCACGGGGTTTTTGGGGAGCTTTTCCGCTTGCGTTATTAGTTGCGGTTGATATTGATTTCTCGCTCAAACTGGTTATGAAGTGAAAATATCAGTTGTCAGTAGAGCTGAAACGATTATGCGATTAATCAAACACTTAACAGAAAATCTATTCTGCAACTATTTTTATCATTTATTAATTGTTTAATTAGTTTTTAAAGAAAGAAAATGACAAACGTTCCCTCGTTTACGGCTCCTCAGCTTACAGTTTGTAATAATAAACATATATATAACTGGTCAGCAGATTAATCGCTAACAATAGATTGTTAGAGGAAGCCCTAATGAGCACATGAATTTAGTTTATATGAGTTTATATATATATATGGACCTGAAGAAAGAACATGCAAAACTTATGCAAGTTATTATATATAAGATTCAATACTTTTATTACTATTTCAACATAGCTGTGAAGCGACCTCTTATTTTGTTTGACCAGCACCCAATTCAGTTAGCCAACAGTTCATTATCCATGAATGTTCCAATTATTAACGTTCTGACTTCCTGTTTGCTGTGGTGGAGTTTGAAGCTGAGCGTTGTGGTCCTCGTTCTTAGTGCCTTCTCAGTTACACATTTTTATGTTGTTTCGGGCAAAAGCGTGAGGCAAGTGAATAAATGCAGAATGGTAATTGTCAGAAAATAGTGAAAAATGCCAATTGAAATTTCATAAAGCCCAGGACGACGTCGTCAAAACCAAATGATGTTCAACTGATTGCTTCAGCCCTACACTGCTGCAAGATGAATGATACATTAAACAGCTCTGCAAAATGCCTTATTCTCAATCCTGATCGGCATCATTTCCAGATGTCTCACTCAAAACACACACGCTCTTCCTCAGTGGCATTAGTAGTTCCAAGCTCCACGGTTGTATGAAACAACACACAGGGGAAACTAATGCCTCCTCTTCTCAACATATCCCTTTACATCTCAAGCGCTCGGTGCTCCCTCCCTTAATACATCCATCCATTGACTCTACTCTGCTGTCAGATGGGTCCTGAGCTGCAGAGCAGCGAGGAGAGGCCGCGGTAAACAGCCCACAAGGGGGTTAGGTTTCATATACGGCAGAGGAAGGGAGAGCACGCCATGTGGTGGGAGGTGTAAGGGGCAAGCTATTTAAGACCAAGTAAAAAGCATGTATAATATGGGATTTATAGCAATTATGCAGATGCAATAAAGAGGGAGGGACTGCGTTGGTGCGTCTAATTAAGACAGCGAAAGACTGTGAAATCGTCTTTCCCTGAGCCATAAGCCTCAATCTCAGTCGGCCTCGGCCGCCTCGTAGAGCCCGCAGGCTTTGAGGAAGTGCAAACATCAGAGCATCCCACTGTTACTAAGTGCGCATGCTCCTGTCATGAAGGCCCCGCTTCACATTTACACCGATGCAGTGCAATCTAGTGGTGTGTGTGGAGCCCTGAACAGCTGGACCGGAGCAGATGTGGGTTCACAGTGTTGCTGAGGAGCAACTTCAAAAGGTGAGGAGGAGGTGAGAGTTGTTTAATGATTATTTCAGGAATCCAAACCTGGAACATGACAGTCTGAAAGACCTTTTTCCTTCAAATCCTGACTATTGCCAGCTTGAATCTATATGTTTTGGGCTCATGTTGGCAGGAAACAAGCCAACGTTTCCAGTGTCAGCTGCTGAAATGTAATCATGTCTCCTTAGATGTCCTTCTGTGGCGATGGCGTCACAAAGTCACTCTGCTACCGCCCCCCAGTGGCTGAACATGTTACTGCAAACTATTTAAATGTGTGATGTTCAATGGTACTGATGCGCAGATTAACTGTCCAATAAAACTTAAAGGCAACAAAGTGAGTTTGAACAGACACTCTTACAAAAACGATTGCATCATCACCAAAATCTCAGCTGGAAAGATATTTCTACAAAATGAAAGACCACAGGTTTGACACTCATCACAGCCGCCATGAAGTGTCCTAGTATTCCTCATTCACTGTGAAGTCAGAACTGAACACTCTCTGTTTGACTGAACAGCTGCAGGCTTGTTTTCCGTCCAGCAGAAGGCAGTGCAGCACATGCCGTGATCGTTCCCAGAGAGGAGCAGTGGAACACTGTGACTGTATTTCATCACTGGACGATCCGGTGAATGATCGCATGACTAAAGCTTCACATATATGAAGAAGGTAAGTGCTGCAGTGTGGCTCTAGTGCAGCCCATCACAGAGCAGGAGGGGAAAATGTGCACCGATGCATTTATGTGTAACGTCAGCGACACAATGTAGGACATGACTGACCCGAGGTGAAGGTACAGATGTTAATAAAGCCCAATGCCCCCCCCCCCCTTCTCTCTGTGTACTCGGCAAACTCCCAATCCCGAGCCAATCTCACCGAGCTCCAACTCTGCAGCACAAATTGGATTTCTGAAAGTTTCCATGGCACGCAGCTGGATGAACAGGATTAAATGTGGAAATCTAAAGCTCTGGATATTATTTTTTTTAATGCTCCCAACTGTCTTACCGAAGCACAAACTACTGTGTGGAGGAAATCTCCAAATCGACTGTTCCAAAACTCAGAGTGAGAGTTGAGTAACCTTGGCTTCTCTTGGGGCGAATGTTTCAGTGGATGAGGCTCTTCATTCACACGTCACTACATCGTGTTACACTGAGCAGGTGCACGCTTGAAGCAGATCTTGGCTTAAAAATTGATTTGAATAACTGCAGGTATTTTGCTCAAAGTACAGTAGATGACACGTGTGAAGTTTACCAATGCCAGTCAGTACAGCATCATGTAAGCTGCTGGCTTGCCCCTGTAAAAATGGTTTATTTTGCAGTTGTTATCAAATGAGAACAAAGACCAAAAGTGAATTGTCATGTTTAGTCTAGATTTAAATAAATTAATCTAAAGTAAATCAAACTGAACTCCTGTTTCCAGGATGAATGAAATACTCGCTTCAAGCTAAGCTTCAGTCCGTACACTCTGACTTCACCCGCCGCCGTTTTCTCGCGAGTGCCTGATCTGTGCTGTGACTCTCAACAGAGATGACTCACTCCTAAACTACCTCCATCCTCAGCTCTGGAACAAAACCGACGTGTTTAATTAGTGTTTTACCACTTGCTCGATCGGGCAGATTTACCAGCTCAACGTGGCATTTCCAACCCACAGAAATTCAGAATACTATGATATATGATGAGGAAAAGCATCAAAACCTGAGCTCGTTTGCTGGCTTCTGCTCGCTTTAAAGCACTTGTAATCATAAAAATGTCTCGATGTGAACCACGCCTCACGTTTCAATTATATATAAATGATACAAAAATGTAATTTATTTTCCTTACTGTAAGTGTTATACGACCCTAACCGGTCCGATCTACTGTAGCAGAGCAAAGTCCGCTGGCTGGATGTCAGCGCTGCTCTCTGGCTGCACAGCTGGGCCCGGTTGTGTCAGCCAGCCCCCCCCGGGGTTTTGGGTTCGATAATGTTATTCTTCAGAGGGCTGGCCTGCTGCCCGCTCGCTGCATTAACCCTCGCGTAATACCTCTCCGTCCAGCTCACTCTTCTTCACCATTTGTGTCACTCTCGCATTTACGGACACCCAAAAACATAGTGAAACCTACACAGATGTGTTGCTCTGCGCTCTGGTACTGAGAAGAAGAAGTGTTGTTTTGTTTCCCAACGCTGAAGCGGAGGAGGACCGTGCATGTGTTTAGATGGTTATCTGTGTCGGGTCTCGTCCAGCAGGAGGAATATGAAAATGGGAGGCACATAATCCTGGCACAGCGTGTTCCCCCCATAGTGTGGGAAGGTCAAAGCACAAGTACACTTTACATAAATCCATAAACTCCCAACTCCCTTCAAAAGAAGTTGTTCGCTGACAAACTACTCCTCAAAGAAACCGGACTGCTTGAAGACAGCAGCCGTAGCCCTCATGACAATACATACTGTGATTCTTTGTTTCTCCCGTTCCCATGAAGAAGTTCACACACTAACTAGTCCAAACACAACTGGGCTTTGAAAGCTAAAACAACCCGCGTCTCCTGACCTCCTTAAAACACGTAATAAACCCACAAACGACTTGTAGGTGCCGGTCTCATTTCACTAATCGCTGCTCTTTATAAACAGCCACAGCTTTATGTCAGAAACCTCACACACACACACACACACACACACACGCACACACACACACACTGGGGGAGGACATGACAATACACCTGAAGGACCCCGTCATCACTGAGACTGTCAAGTCAGCAGTTTGTCCTTACATGTAAGTAAATAAGTACGTAAACTTCAGCAAAATAGCACAAAGAACATGAGTTATATCTCCCGACTGATACTATTTTTGGAGACCAGAACCAAGCTTGTACTCGAAATGCCAGTATACACCAGCTTATACATGTATTTGTTTTTAGCATACATGATATTAGCGAGCACTTTTGATGAGGATCCTTCACATGTGCTTATTAAAAAGTTCTCACCAAAGAAAACTGAGCGAGAGAAGTTCATTATCGACTTAGCAAACAGTAGAAAGACAAAAACACTACAGCTATTAAGAGCTTTTGTCCCAGAATGTTGTTTCCTATTTCACCAAAGACAGATGGGAGAAGATATCACGGACACAAAATATGTAACTTGGAACTGTACAAGTATGTGTAAAACCCAGCAGGGCTACATTCCTGCAGGGCAAGGATCATTTCAAAATAAGTCATTTCCTCGACTGTAGCGTTCCTAACCTGAGAGAGACATGCCCGACCCCGCCGCTACATCACACACACACACACACACACACACACACACACACACACACACACACACACACACACACACA